GTTAGCAGCATGCCTTCCATTTTGGGCCCAAAGGCCAAATTCAGATCTTGGGAGGGTCTTTGGAGAGGTACTCTCTGACCCTCTCCAGATAAATGTTAAACCCATTCTTACAGATAGAAAGCATCTGACTCAATTATGTCTAGCAATGTGCTTCTGTCCAAAGAAAGACATCCACCAAAATTCAGTGGCCAGGTAAGGAAGGCATCAGTCAGAAAAGAGACCAATGTTAACTCTAAAGGAACTGGAGGTATTTCCAGCTGAGATAGGACAAACCATTCATGGGATCACTATCAGCTAGATGCTGCACAAAAAAACTGTGCTTTATAAGTGGCAAGAAAAAAGTTACATCAAAACAAACCAGTATCAGAAATTGTTTAGAATTGCAAAAAGACGTGGAGAAATAGCAACATGTGTCAAAAGTTTCTTTGGTCTGATGAAACTAACCTTGAACTTTTTGCCCTTGCTGCTAAATGCTAAGTGATGCACAAAACCAGTGGTTCATAGAATTATAGAACTGGAGAGCTGGAAGGGGCCCATAAGGCCAGCATGTCCCTCTCCTTGCTGAATTAAGACCTCCAGGTGAAAACATCCCTAACATATAGCTTGCCCTTGTCATATAGCTCTAACAGTCAGGATGTTTTCCACTGGCTTCCTGTAACATGAGGTCTGTAACATTCCATGTCCCGGTCCACCTAAGGGAGCTTGGTCTTCCTCTGTCTAACTACCTTTCAAGTACTTAAAAAGTGCTATGATATTTCCCCTCAGTCTTTTCTTATCAACACTAAACACATCAATTTCCTTCAATCTCTCCTCATAGGATTTGTTTCTAGTCCCTGGATCATCCTTGTTGCCCTTCTCTTAATTCTTTCCAGTTTGTCTGATCTGTGGGGCACAGAACTGGGCACAGTATACCAGTACTAATCAGTACTTCTCATGTTCTGGAAGTGGTACTTCTATTAATGTAGCCCAAAATAACATTTGCCTTTTTATGTAGGCACATCACATTGAGTACTCATATTCAGCTTGCGATTTACAATTCCAAGAACTTTCTCACTAGCAGTATTATTGAGCCAAGTATCCTCCAGTTTTAACAATGCATTTGGTTTCTTTTTGCTAACCTGACATTTGCCCCTGCTAAATTTTATTTTGTTGGTTTTGGCCCACAGCATGGGCCTTCTTCTTTTGCCTTGAGAGTTCTGTTCCTTCAGTGGAGTGTGGTGGTGGCAGGATCACATTGTGGGGATACATTTCCTCAACAAGTACTGAGAGAAAGGTCAGGATGAAGGGTTGGATGGATAGAACCGAAAATACAGCAGTTCCAGAGGAAAATCTGTTTCAGGTCTACAAGAGAACTGGGAAGTGGGAAGAAATGCACTTTCTACTAGGACAATGGTCCTAAACACATGGCCAAAGTATCACTGGAGTGCTTTAAAAAGTGCTATGGGTGCTATGAAGTTCATTGGGTGACTTTGGGCCAGTCACCCTTTCTAAGCCTGACCTACCTCGCAGGTTTGTTGCTGTGAGGATAAAATAAAGCTATGCAAGCCACCACATATGGGTTAAACATGGGTTCACTCAAATCAGATGAGGAAAAAGTGGGATGTTTATGCTGTGTGAGTATAATACTGCATTTATCCTTTATTGTGGCCTGGTGATGTGAACAAGATACTTGGTTATCTTCATGTCACCACTTGCTTACTTGACCTTCATCAAATCCAGGTGAGGTGGTTTCTTTCCTAAATCACTGCCTAAGCGTGATAATGGACCAGATGAGGGCTTGAGTTCACTTTTGAAATATGGGTTAAACATGGGTTCACTCTAACTCCCACTTTTGCCATTTGAACAACTGTTGTTCAGCTGTTCAGTCATGTCCAACTCTAAGTGATCCTATGGGCCAAATCTTGCCACACTTTCTGATCCTCTGCCACCTCTTTTGGCTGAACAACAATAAAAGCTTGCAAGTGGAAATGCAAATTAAGCCAAACAAGCTTTGAAGTGAATATCCGAACTGAGTTTTTGGTTTTTCTTTTTTCCTCCCTATGGTGACAGTATTTATTTATTTATTTATTATTTATATCCTGCCTTTTCCCTACAAAGGGCTCAAGGCAGCTTACATCATTCTCCTCTTCCATCTTATCCTCACAACAACAATCCTGTGAGGTAGGTTGGGCTGACAGTCTGTGACTGGCCCAAAGTCACCCAGTTGGCTCCATGGCTGAGCGGGGACTAGAACCCAGATTGTCTGAGTCCCAGTCCCAGGCTCTTACCCACTACACCACACTGGCTCTCAGTAGAAAAGGCCATGGGGGGGAAACTGTGAAAAGGAAGTAGAGCACTGTATTTTGCCTGTCCCCACCTTCTGCTCATGGAATGGAATGTTGCAGATTGATGAGCGCACAGCTGAAGTGTTTGTTGTGGGCATATCAAGCTAAGATCAGGTTGCTAGGCAGATCACCGTTCCTACAAGTGTATGCAATCTGCAAAGCCTGCACAGGAGGCCCCACAGGTCACAACATGATGTGCAGATAACCACACAGCAACAACTCAGGAGGGTTTCTTCTCCATGGTGGCACACTTCTGGGAATGCTCTTCTCTCTGGGCTTTGGAAAACACCAGTTGGGGCATGTCTTAAACACAAGTTAACATCTCCCTTTTTGCTTAGGTCTTTTCTGACTGATGGCCCTGTTTCTTAATCGTTGGTTTTCTTATTTTATTTTACTTTATTTGAGGATGTTTTATTCTTAGGTTTACATTTCAAGTTATCTTTCAGATATGGTAAAGCAGTTTTAAACTGATCTGATAAATAATAAATCAATATTAAATGAGAAGAAAGGTATCTGCTCGAACTAAACCTGGTAGGCTAAATGTTTTTCACTCACCAATACCACTTAGAATTAGCAGGGGTCTCAGAGGTGCTTATTTTTAAAAATGAAATAAGTACTTTAAAAGTGCTGGATTCTTGAATCTCTTCCTTTCTGTTCCTCTGAAAAGAATCGGTACTCATGTATCTTCCAAACAATCAGAGCTTGGACAGAGAAAATTGTCCCATCACTAAATGCTTTTGCCAAACTAAGAATGTTACATTCATTGATACAATATTGATTGATGTTCTGGAGACATACAATAATTGCGGCGGACAGAGTCTTGTGTTGGACCAGATGTTGTGTTGGACCAGATGTAGCAAACTCATCTGCTTCTTGCACTCCTATTCAGAAATGATATCCCCCTTCTACTAATCCATGTGAGAGTGAAAAATGTTCCAGAAAAACATTTCTTAGAAGATCTTCTGGTTACAATAGATAGTAAATGATTGGTGTTTTATTTTCTGCACAATGGACCCTTTTAATATTTGTAAACCATATGTACTGAAAACACTTCCCTAAAATATATCATCTTAAATTACTACATTTTATAATAATTTAGAGGTTCATAGTCAACTATAATCTATGCAAATTCTTCTGAAAATTATGCTAAAGCAAGACATAACCAATTCTGCCCCTGGAAGGGAAGAATGAAATAATAGGGGCCCCTGTTTAAGACTGTCTGACTCATCAGGCATGCATGGTCTTTATTGGATTGGTTTCAGTGATAAGTGGTTCTGAAACTGATAATTTCACCTCTTCCCTGTAGCAGAAACAAGTGAATTATGAAGAAGAATGGATAATTAGGCCATGTGTAGATGTGTTCAGGGGCCATAGGTTGCCCATACTTTGCTGGCTTCCAGATCATTGTGAAAAGACAAAGTGAACTGTCATTAGAATGAACAATTTGTTTCTTTCTCTAAGTAATGAGAAATCTGAGATATAATGTAAAATACTCTCCTAGAATCCAATTTAAGCCTATAAAGGTGACATCCTAGGTTCTGAATTCCAAGTGGGACAAACAGTCCTGGGAAATACTGCTAGCTTCATTATTTTCTTAAGGAATACTTACAAAAATCTTCTCAATTGAATTTGCAGAAGAATTTCAGAGCTCCTATTTACATGGAGATCATTAAACTGTGTGCCCAAATTTCCAATGTAATTCATTACTGAGTTCCTAATATAAAGACAAATATATTGCACCATTAATGCAAACTACATGTAAATACGGTTATGTCCATATGTAATGCAAATGGCCAGCCAAAGACATTTAGCTGCCCAAGGCAACAAGCCCTCCCTTCCAACTCACCACTGCTCATCTATAGTTTAACTGGAATGGTAGTTGATGGGACAACACACTCTGTTGTGTCTGGGGGCAGAATGCTAGTTTTGAGGGCTCAGCACAGACCTGGGTGAGGCACTAAGGGAGAGTAGGGTGTGCTCTCCAAATCCTACATCACCAAAACTGTCTTCTCAGTTGGCTGCCTCTGTCTGCCTGATGGTAGCAAAGTCAATTATCATTAAAGAAGCAATCTGATTAAACCATGCAACAGAGCATTTCCATTTCTTCTTATGCCAGTCAGCCATACTTGGCTCCTCTGTTGAGCTCTATTTTTGCACCAATTATTGCATTGATTATTAGTTCACATCATTCTTTTACTACAATTTTTCTTACAGGCAAACTAAACATGATACAAAGTGTGTATTTTCATTCAACACACAGGGTTTTGTTTTATTTAACAAATGCAAACATCTTCTGCTGGAGGGGGTATGATATTTATCAGAGCAGGCAGTTTGGAGGAATGTAAACCTTTCTTCTCCCGCTGAAAAAAATAATTCTCTGAAATGACTATTAACAATAGAAGAAAATATCACCCTTGGGGTCTGGGGCACTGGCAGACTGAAGTTCTAGGATTCATTTGCCTGCGCATTATCCTGCAGTGTGCACGTTATGTGATGTATGTAAATAAATCTGAGAAACTGACTGCATCTCACACTGCCACATTTATGAGATGAACAGCATAAATGAAAGAGAGTGCAATCTGATCTCGTGTATCTCTGTTGATGTTTTCATCTCACTTTCCTCTTCTTTCTTTCTTTCTTTCTTTCTTTCTTTCTTTCTTTCTTTCTTTCTTTCAGGCTTATATCACTTCTCTGTCCTGGAAGACATTGCTATTGGTGAACCAGTAGGAAGGGTTAAAGCAAATGACCTGGACACTGGTGAGAATGCTAAGTCCTCCTATGACATTATTGAAGGAGACGGAATGAATATCTTTGAGATCACTCCAGACTCCCAGACTCAGGAAGGCATTATTAGATTGAGAAAGGTAAATGGCAACTTAAAGAACGTGTTTGCAGACCTTGGTGTTGCACAGATCAGTCCTTAAAGCATCTTTGTTTCATCAGAGTATGGCTGGTCTTGGGATTGATATGCATGATTCTATGTTCTGTTTTAAAAACTACGTGGTATATTATTCCCTCTCTCTTTGACACACACAGGCATACATCTAGCCAGGTTTCTAGACCATGGCATCTGTTGCTTCTCCTTCCCACCACCACACAGTTTGGGCCAGAGTGAGAGCCAAGTGAGCAAACAGGTTGCCCTGGTGAAGAGGAGGAAGAAGCCCAGAGAGCCATCCTGGAGACTGGGCTCTCAGCCAAGTCTCTCCTGCACACTGGCCTTCCCTCCTTCGCTCCCTCTCTTGCAGGAAGCATGCATACAGACGTGCACCACTGCCGCTGTCCCGTGAAGCAGCCTCTGGCTAAGTAAGAGGAACCCTCGTCTCTCTGTTCAGACACTAGATGGCTGGCCCACTTCCAATTAAGCAGTGTGGGAACAGCCACTGTGTGTGTGTGTGAGAATAATTAAGGATCCCAGCACAAGCGCGACAAGGCATGCTGTCTTCCTGATAGTGCATTGTTCATGCTGGTTTGTTTGTCTGTTTAACATAAGAGTCCATCTGGCCCTTCCTCTGGGTTTATCTGCCAGGTTGTAGCCAGAAATGTAAATTTCTAGAAGCCATGAAAGGATTTCCCACCCACCCTTCAGGAGATGGGAAAATTTGAATTTTGGGAGAGAATAGGGGAAAATGCTTCTTTTAAAGCAGTCTTTGCAGCTCTAAAACCATTCTGTTACTTTAGAAACAATAAAATGTGTTGTGGACCACCTGGTTTACTCTTAACATTAAACTTAAAAATAAAACAGTTGTCAGCAATTATGTAATTATAGCCTGAATAAACTATATTTTAATGCAGAATAGCAGACATAACAACTTTATGAGCAAATCTATGCATACTTCATGTGCAGTTTTATAATTTATGTTTTTAAATTAATATTGTGAGCGTACAGTAAGTTGTTCTTTAAGAAATGAAACAGAAGCAGGGAGAGCTGGAGGCAGAGGAGGAGTGCTGCATAGCGGCTATTGCTATTTATGAAGAATTGGCTGGGAGATTAGGCAGCTCTGAAGGAAATGCTGTCAAGAGCTTATTCAGCTGGGGAAGAAACACTTCTCTGTTACCATGCATATTTGGTTGCAAACATCTATAGAATCCAAAAACTATTATTTCAACTGGTATGTTTTATTCCCACCTGTAAAAAAATCCCCCTTCTCACACATCTTAAAAGGGTTTTTTAAACTGTTTAAAAAGGGTTAAAGTGGTTTGAATGAGGCTCTGCTTCCCATATTTCTTTGGGTCCATTGTTATTTTTAACTGAAAGCACATCAAACTTGTAATGCCCACACCACAAACACTGCTGTTTACCAGAGGTAAAAATGGGAGAACTGGCCATGCCATGAACAGCGATCCCCCCTTAAACCAGTGTTGACACTCTAGAGGGCTGTGAGCAGGGGAGGAGACCACCTTCTACATCAAACAGATTTTCCGCCACCAAAATTCGGCTGCTTTCCCCCAGTCACAGTTCTTGACAGTGGTTACTCTGTCAATCCTCACACCCTTATAGATGTGAAGATTGTGGAGTTTGCAGAAAGCACCAAAAATATTCCCCAGCTGTTATTTGGCACAGCTGACATTTCCAGTAGGAGACCTGGACTGTATTTTCCATAAAGGACAAAGGAAAAAAAGGAAGATTGAAAATATACTTATTGAAATATATTTCTGAAATGTATTGCAGTATACACTGTGCTTCAGAACCTTACATTGGCATGAGAGAGAGAGAGAGAGAGAGAGAGAGAGAGAGAGAGAGAGAGAGAGAGAGAGAGAGAGAGAGAGAGGTCATTACAATGTGAAAAGCATTTTGCAATTTTATTCCAAAATGAAAGGAGGGCTTCTGAACTTCTCTCACATGTGAACCAGGATTACAAGTTAGTGCACAGGAGGTGCAAATAATGTATTATTTGTTCCATCATGTTCCATCATGAAAACAAAACAAAACACACAGTCAGTTTAAGGCTCTCTCATGTCAGCATAGGAAATCCAGGAAATTGTGGCTCAGAGAGATGCTTTAACAGGCACACCCATAGTCAGGAATGATATTGTGCGATGTCGCGGTGCTTCCTTGCAACTTGCTCTCCATGCACCCACACTTTTCCTTGGTCTTTCAGGCCCAAAACCAGATGGGGAGGATGGAGTGCCTGGGGCCAGCAAGGATGCAGCACGTTGTCCTGGTCCTGTATTGCCCTATGAAGCATAGGAGCCTTATTGTATTGCTAGAGGACTCCTCCTGTGAGTTGACCACACCTATCGGTTGCTTGCAAGCAAGCAAAATTTGTGACATCACACAACAGCATTAAAGCATCAGCCTCAGCTTCCAATTTCCTGTCTGTGTGAAGCTTTAGCCAAAATGAGATAGCTTGCCATCTGCTTGTAAACTGACATTTAAAAAAAATCATTGAATTCCCCAGGTTTATGAAAAGAAAATGTACTGTTACTGTTTTGTGGAGAAAAGCATATACCACCCTCCCCAAAAACAAAACACAAGCCACTAATGGTTTATTAATTGATGAGAGGTATGCAAATGCATAGATCTGTCCCTCTCTATTCAGAAAGGTTTGCATCTGAGTAAGTCTACAGAATGTGCAAGCATGGCCTTTGCCTTTCCCTCCCTATCCCCTCCTCATCTGCAATGTATCTATTAGTGAGAGTGATTTCCTCAGCCTATAAGATTACATTCCCCTTATCTCAGTCGACAATTTCCTTCCATCCCTCCCCCTCTATCAGAAAACTGACAGGAGTGCTGGAATCCCTCTGAAGGCACAGGAGACATGGCAGCATTGCAGCTTCAGCGTACAAATGAGTGTGCCTGACATAACCTGTCAGAAGCTGCTACCGCTGACTTTCCTGGGGCAGGGGGGAAAGCCAACTTAGTAACTTGTGATCTGATACTCAGCATGTCACTAAACCAATGAAAGGCACATCTCCTTGACAAAACTAAATAAAGTACATTTCACCAAAATGTGAAAGATGTATATGATATGGTGAGTTACAGCTTGGGGTAAAAATGTACAGATGTGTCAATTCTCAGCACTTTTTATAGAATCGACTTGAAACTGCACAACTGAATATCCTACTGGGTAGAGCAAGAGCACCAAGTTTCATTATTATTTGTTCAATGGGTTATTTTTATAAGCAGTAATTTTTTTAGATTTATAAAATCGGAACCCCCTTCCCTTCCCTTCCCTTCCCTTCCCTTCCCTTCCCTTCCCTTCCCCTTCCCCTTCCCCTTCCCCTTCCCCTTCCCCTTCCCCTTCAGTCCTGTATGTGCTTTCCTTGGACAAAGCTGTCTTAAACTCATTGGATCTTAATGTGACTAGAAATGCATATAGTTGCTATATAAGATAAAATAGTAATTGAATTCATTTATTTCACTTAAGTTTTAACCATGGAAATGATCGAAGCTTAAAGGCATCTAAATTTTGGCTTATTTTGGAAATAAAAATGTGCCCTGTTGCTTCCTTCGCAATTGTATTCCTGTGATTGTAAGTGATCCTAACATTACAGAAAAAGAATGAAGAAATAAATGAAATAAATGAAATAAACTCTTAATTCAATGTTTTGTATGGCCCTTGAGAGGATTTACTTCTCCAGAGTACAAAGAATTTGCTAATCTTTGTGTGTGTGTGTGTGTGTGTGTGTGTGTGTGTGTGTGTGTGTGTGTTTGGGGGGGTTATTAAATATTCTGCCTAGCCAGGGACTTTCTGCCTGTTGACAATTTGGTATGAATATTTTTTGATGCTGAAATGATCAGGGACTGGAGCAACTCCTCAATGAGGAGCAGCTAGATCTGGACTGTTTAGCTTACATAAAAGGCAAGTAAGGGGAGGCACGATAGAGATGCTTAAAATAATACATGGTGTGCAGAAAAAGAGGCATTTTTCTGTCTCTCCCATAACACTTGAAACTAGGTTACCCCATGAAACTGACTAGTGAAATGTTTAGTACAGAGAAAAGGAAGCACTTTTTCACACATTGCGCAGGTGAACTATGGGATTTGTTGCCACAGGAAGTGGTGATTTACACCAGTTTTAAAAAGGATTTCAACAGATTCATGAGCAGGGAGGCTATCAGTGGTAAGAGCTTTGCAGACTGTGTGCTACCTCCTTTCCCAGAGGTGCCATGCCTGCATACACCTGTTCGCGACAGGTGGAGGTCTTGTGCCCATCTTGCTTGAGTGATCCTGTGGGCAAATGGTTTGCCACCATGCATACAGAATTCTAGAATATATGAACTTTTGGTCTGATATAGCATGGCTCTTATATTCTTGTGACCTACCCACTTTGGTACCTTCAGCTCCATATACAGCAGACCTCTAGCTCCTATTCTCTGTCCTGATCAGCCAGCTCCATAGCTGAGCTTCATAGCAGGAGTGAGAAACCTTAGGCCAGGGTTTTCCATATATTGTGCAGTCCTTTCTACATTCTAAAATGTTGAAATGCCTTTCATTTGGATGAGGAATTGCAGGGAAAAATTTGCAGATGACACTAAACTGAGAAGCATAGCTGAAACCCTGGAAGACTTTTGGAAGACAGAAAGAAGATTCCAGGTGATCATGATAGGTTGGAGCACTGGCCTGAAAACAACAGCATGAAATTCAGTTGGGACAAATGCCATGTTCTGCACCTAGGAAAAAGAATCCAAAGACATTTTACAAGAAGGAGTATACTTGGCTCAACGATACTGCAAGTGAGAAGAATCTTGGAATTGTACATCAAAAGCTAAAGATGAACAAACAGTGTGATGTGCCAAGTGCTATTTTAGGCTGCATTAACAGAAATATCACTTCCAAATCCGTGACATACTAGTTACCCTTTACTCAGCACTGGTTAGGCCTCATTTGGAGTCCTGTGTCCAGTTCTGGGCACCATAATTGAAGGAAGGTGCAGACAAACTGGAAAGGGTTCAGAGGAAGGCAACAAGGATGATTCAAGGACTGGAAACAACACCCTGAGAGGAGAGATTGAATGAACTGGGAATGTTTAGCCTAAAGAAAAGAAGACTAAGGAGAGATGAAATGGTAGGCACATGGTAGGCATGTCATGAGAGGAGCCGACTGGAGCAGAGGGGTCAGACTAGATGGCCTGGGAGGACCCTTCTGACTCACTCTATGTTTCTAAGTACTTGAAAGGCTCTCACAAAGCAGAAGGATAGGATCTCTTCTCCATCGTCCCAAAGAACAATACACAGAATAATGGGCTCAAGCTAGAAATCTGGAAAAAAATCCTGACTGTTAGAGCAGTAGGACAATGGAACAAATGACCTAGGAAGGTTTTGGGATCCCCCACACTAGTGGCACTCAAGATGAGAGGAGAGGATGGTTTAGCTTGGAGTTCTGCACTGAGCCAATGGCTCTCTGGCCTCTTCCAATTATGATTCAATGGTTCTATAGTGTGTATTTTGCATTGATTTTGGTCTCTGATATGCACACTGGGGAACATATTTTCTATCATATGTTAAGAGAACAGGCTGCCAAATGCTTTTGGTTACTACGATTTTTGTCTGCTGAATATGAAGTGGCTAAAATGATATAGGATGCATGATTGGCAAATTGTGCATATTCTGATTTACAGACACCTATTCATAGCTACAAAAGCCTGATTTCTGAGTAAGCAGAGAAGTGAGCATTTGTCATGTTTACTAAAAATTGCAAAGTTCCATTTGAGCTGGATTCACATCTTTAAAAATCAACATGATTTTTTAAAGTACAAATATATGGTGAAGCTTCTAGAGACTTCCTGAAAGAGTTTTGTGATTTCTATTTGTATTCTTTCTATTTGCATTGCAGATTTAAGCTTCTGTGTCATTCTCTCTCTCTCCCCCCTCTCTCTCCCCCTCTCCTTCTCTCTTTGTTCCTTTCCACGGGACATTGTGATGCAAATTTACATATCTTTCCAAACCTTGGTAAATTTGCAAGTTTGAAATATTAATCATTGTGAGTCATCAGAGGGTTGGATTGTAAATCTCCATTTCTTGAACTTTAAGCAGCTATGTATTCAGGTTGCTCATAAAATTGGTACAATACTTCTTTTTAAATACCCTGCATATTCTGTGACACTTTTTGTTTGGTGGGTGCCTATCTGCTATTTTTGCATGTTATGTTTATAAATATAATCAATCAGGAATTTCTCATATTTTGATATCCATATTTATAGTTCGACAGTTACCTGTTATGTGAAGTTTGTACCTTCCACACAACAAACAAACAAACAAAAGTTTACACACAGCATGCACAATTGATTTAATTTTGTTTCAGCTTGTATATTTAGCCATTTTGGGGTCAATGGAGCAATGGATCCCATGTTAATAATCTCAAACCCATCATAACACTTGATCTTTTATTCACAGGAGTCAAAACATAGTGCTTAAAGATACATTCTTCAGATCTTTATTGTACATTCAGACCTAATTAAAACACTGTCCTTGAGGTTAAGTCTCCTGGACATACGATGTGACTATGTGAGAGTCAGAAACATCCATGAAAATGATGGGATGTGCTATCTGCATCCCCAGTACAGTGCCATTATAGCTCCTTGGTAGGCAAGTCTGAATTTCTGTCCCTGGTTCTCTGAAGAGTATTTTAATTTCAGGAAACTCTCTTGTGGATTCTGTCCTCAGTATCTCAGAGTAAAGCACCAGTGAGGGTTTCTTAGGTAAAAAAAGAATGTGAAGTGTTTTTAAACATGAGATTGTATGCATATTTGAGCCACTTACATGTCAGTGGGGCAAACCTAAGAATTAGCTAAGCTTTTGATATAGTGCCCCACAACATGCTGATAAGTAGATTAGCACGAAGTGGAGTAGACTGAAAAACTATTAGGTAGATCCAAAACTGCTTGCTAACTCAGACACAAAGTGGCACCTTCTCAGACTGGTGGGAGGTAACTAGTGGGGTGCCTCAGGGTTCAGTCCTGCGCCCAGTACTCTTCAACATCTTTATTAATGATTATGTATGTATGCTATGTTATTCCATTTCTGTTTCACACCATAACCTGAAGATAATTTGGGCAGCTTATAATACTAGAGGATAAAAAGAGTTATTAATCAGGTAAAAGATAAAACAATAAAATAAAAGAATACCTCAAATAAAACACACTCATACATATCAGTAAACACAACCAACAAATTAACCAAAATTAATAAAAATGTTAATAGGAAAATTTTTGCATCAATACACATACATAACACAAACAAACATATGAGGAATAGGGTTAAAAGAGCAAACAAACAAGCACTGGAATAAATGCAACCATCTGGCTTAATGTAGCTTTGTCATTACAGTATCCAGGTTCTTCAAGTAAGCAACCAGTCTGCCTGAACCTGCGTGATAATTAGAGTAATTTTCCCTTACTAGTGCAGCTGGTTGGGACATCCATACTTAGTGAAGATGGCTGGCTAACAAACCATCCAGCAACTCTAGAACAGGACAGGAGTTCATCATGGCTTATTAACCACACTTATGTCATTGAAACTGCCCCGTATCTGAAGAACCATGGGATCATAGAATGAGAGAAGCATATAGCTGTAAAGGGCCAGAAACGCATTGTGCCCAACCCCCTGCTCAGTGCAGGACTCTCATTCCTCTCATTCCTCTCATTCCTCTCATATGGCTGCAGAGTTTCATCTTGAATGCCTCTAGTGTGGGCAAGCGCCACTGTGGCTTCTCAGAATACAGAGGCTAAAATGGGGGGCATTCCAACCAACAAAGATGGAGGAAGGAGAATGGACTGGGATCTAATTGATGAAAGAGCTTTTTCATTATCATTCTTACCCACTGCCTGATAAATCAGCTAGACAGTCCTGATAGTTAGCTAGTTAGCTAATAGTTAGTCAGTTTTAAATAGTCAGATGGGAAGCTGTAAAGTTTTTACCCTTCTCCTGCTGCCCCTGGTTTCTGATGGAAGGCAACTGGATAGACAGAGGGTTCTGTAATTCCAAGTTTGTATTTACTGAGTGTTGTTCCTTTAGGATTATTCTCTCAATGCAAAAATGGAGGAAAGTTCTGTTCCTCCACACAGACATAAATATGCTTTAAAACCCTGGTTAATGTGTAATATTACCTTGTCATATGATTAGTTTCAATACTGACTGTACCCATTAAAGGACATTAATTTTTAATCGTGTGTGCGTACTTGCATGCACATGCCCAGGCACACTTTGGCAAACAGTAAAATATTCCTTCCACATAAAGTTTGTTCATTTCCCCTTTGCTCCTTATCTCCAATGAACAGAATACGGATTGGGTACATGATTAATATGCAGCCCAGACCATTAGTAGTAAAAATTATTACAGGGCTAAAGGAGAAAAGTGACAGAACTCTTAGTAAGGAAGTGTTGTGTATGCCTGTGTTCCTAGTTTTGAGAAAAAGTAAGGCTGATTTGGCAGGATTTCATTGAGCCTTAGCCTATAAACAATTATCAATAAATGCCCAGAAAATTTACAGCCCAGATCAAATGAAAGAGAAAGAGATTGCATTAAATCCAAGTGTCTGGAGCTTAAATGCACAGCACTTCCATCCGTCCCCATTGTATTTGTTTGTTCTTGCTGTTGTTGTCATTAGAAAAATGTATTTATCTTTGTCATTCTTAACAGCCCCTGGACTTTGAGTTCAAAAGATCCTATACTCTGAAGCTAGAAGCAACTAATGTACACATTGATCCACGTTTCATCAGTGTGGGACCCTTCAAGGATACAGCAACAGTAAAAATTGTCGTAGAGGATGCTGATGAACCTCCAGTCTTTTCATCACCAACCTACCTACTGGAAGTGCATGAAAATGCTGCTATTAACTCTGTGATTGGTCAGGTGACTGCCCATGACCCTGATGTAACTTCCAGCTCTATCAGGTACTGCTTCCTTAAAGCTATTCAAGTATGTTTCTTTCAAAGAGCTTCATCAGTGTACAGAAGACCACACTCACATGAACTGGCTCATAGGCAAAGTCATATCTGTAATATGACTGTAATATTAATTATATTAATATTAATTATGACTGTAAATATTAATATCTGTAGTATCTATAATATGACATACCTCTTAATGTCTCCACCCTTTGCAGGCTAGACATGGAGTCACCATAGAAAAGGCCTTCTTATTACTTGTGTCCAGTCCATGGAATGGTCTTAGCAGGCAGGTTTGCCTAGTAATTTAGCCTTAAGACTTTTCTGTTCCAAGGAAATACCATTTTGTTTTCCAAGTCCTTTTAAGAATATTGTTTGAGTGGGTTTTTTTTAATGAGCTTTATTTAGTCTGTGAAAAAACATAGTTATGACTTTATTTTGCATTGTTTCATCAGCTCTGCTATTTTAATGTCACTTTGATATGATAGTTTTCTTTGTTTTAGTACTACTGAAAGCTGTTTTGAGAGTGGTAACTCGCAAAGCAGCTGGTAACTTTCAGAGCAGTAAGGAAGAAAGAACCAAAGGAAGCTGGAAAAATGGAATCAGTGCTGACTTTGAAATTTGGGGGACAAGCTCTTCCAGTTCTCTCTCACCCCTCATTGGTACTAGGGTTAATTACACTGGCATGATCGCCCAGAAGGCTAGTGAAAAATAACAGCACTCTTCTTTGCCTTTGTCTTCACCTTTATTTGTTCTCTCTCTTTGAGCTAGAGGAAAAGGATGGGTATGTGGGTGGTGATCTCAATCATGATAGGAAGCACAATATTAAAGTTCCCAATGAAACAAAACATGCTGAGAGTCAATGTAGTGTGGTGGTGAGAGTGTTGGGCTGAGAAACTGGGAGATCCAGGTTCTAGTCCCCAGTCAGCCATGAAACACGCTGGATAACTTTAGGCCAGTCAATGGTCTAGAACCCGGATCTCCTGAGTCCTGGAGCTGCACTCTTAACCCATTGTACCACACTGGGTGTCATGCAATTCTGTTCTGCAAGTCCACCACTTCATTCACAGAATTTTACCAATGGAGGAGGGAGGTGATGTCATCTTGAAGTTGTATTTTGCACCCCGTCTTTTCTTTTCCTCTTCCTTTTTGTTTACTGCACATTACAGGTGCAGTGTGCCTTTTGACCATCTGTGCTAGAAATCCTTCATGTGAATGAGCTGAAATGAGCAAAGCTAGAAAAATACTTGGATCGTCACATATTGCTCTTTGTCCATCTTTGTGGTTTCATAGAAACATAGAAATATAGAAACAGAGTGAGTCAGAAGGGGCATTCCAGGCCATCTAGTCGTACCCCTGGCTCCAGCTAGCTCCACTCGTTACATGACTATCATGTGCATGCTCCATCTGTCTTGCTTTTGTGCTGGTACTTTTTTATCATCTAAAACAGATAAAGATGTCAAGAAAGAGATGCAGGGCCAGGGTTTCCTGGCAGTTGGCAGTGACCCATTTCCTGGTCTTGAGTGTCAATTGAACCCCCACCACACCCAAGATGCAAGAAGATTTTGAAGGATTCTATCTATCTATCTATCTATTGTATTTATATGCCACCCAGAGGCTCTCTGGGTGGCATATAAACAGCTTTTATATAAACAAACAAATAAATATCATGCAATCCATAAAACATAATAGAATTATGTTTATATTTACAATATAAACACAACCATATAAATAGGAAAAGGAGGAAAATAAAGACAATATAACCAAATAACACCAACCAATAAGATAATAAATCAATAAACCAACAGCAAACCAATACTCCAATCTAGAAACAGATACTAAATTTTAAAAAGTCTTAACTTGGTGCTGAAAGTGAGATAAAGTGGGTGCCAGAATTCCAAAAATTAGGTGCGATGACTGAGAAGGCCCTTTTCCTTGCCAATTTCCCCTCACCTCATTTGGAGGTGGGGAGTCCATGAAGGAGGGCCTCCACTGATTACCTGAGTGGTCTGATAGGGATATATGGAGACAAGTGTTCCTTTAAAAATCCCAGTCCCAAGCCATTTTATGCTTTATATGTGAGCACTTTGAGTTGGGCCCAGGCAATGACAGGCAGCCAATTTATCTGGTGTAGGACCAGTGTGATATGTTCTCTAGGGCTGGTCCTAGAGTAAATGCACTGCTCTGTTTGGAGTAATTGGGGGTCTGGACCATCTTCAAAGGCAAGCCTACATAGAGGGCATTGCAGTAATCCAGACAATTGGTTACCAGCATGTGGGTAAGTGTGGTGAGGCTCCGCTCATCCAAGTAGGGGCATAGCTGGAAAATCAGCCTAAGCTGATGGCCACCAAGGCCACCTGAGAGACAAGTGAAAGCTCAGGACCTGGGAGCACCCCAGTGCTATAAACCGTATCCACTAGGGGGAGCACAATCCCATCCAAGATTGGTTGAAAGCTTCCCAGTTGGACAAATGGACTGCCCACCAGCATAACCTCCGTCTTGTCTGAATTGAGCTTCAGTTTATTGGCCCTCATAAAGTCCATTACTGAGCCAAGGCACTGGTTCAGGACAGTCACTGCCTCGCCTGGGTTAGATAAAAGTGAGAGGTAGAGCTGAGTGTCATCAGTATACTGATGACATTTCAGCCCATACCTCCAGATGACCCCACCCAGCACTTTCATGTAGATGTTAAAGAGCATGGGGGACAGAATGGAGCCCCGTGGAACTCCATGGTGCAGATGCCATGTCACAGAGCAACAGTCCCCCAGCTCCACCAATTGGAGAGAGATAGGAGTTAAACCACCACAAAGCAGTGCCTCCAACTTCTAGCCCAGCCAGCATCTCCAGAAGGACACCATGGCTGAGGGTACTGAAAGCTGCTGAGTGATCCAGAAGAATTGACAGGGTCGCTCTCCCCCGTCGCTCCTGACATAGGTCATCCCACAGGTTGACCAAGGCAGTTTCTGTTCCTAACCCACGTCCAAAACCTGATTGAAATGGATTTGAATAATCCATTTCCTCCCAGAGTGCTTGGAGTTGCCTGGCTTAGATATTAGATATTTTCAATTGCATCTACTTCCTTGGGATTTTATAAACAAACAAAAACACCTTTTTTATTCTGTTAGTGGACTTAGAATCATGGGTGTTCATAAATAAAAATCCTTCCTTGGTCTAATCTTAGTACCTGTTCTACTGTAAAGTGCATCTTTCTATCCTACAGGGATATAGGGTTTGCCCTGGGTTGCAGCAAGCATTTCCTTCCCTCCAATGGCCCTAAAGAGAATCCCTCTTTGAAGCTCACATTTTCTTGCTGGAAGATCCTGCAGTAACCCGCCCCTTCCTGGGAAATGCTAGAATGTTTTTGTTTTTGCAATACCAATATATATCCAGTGTCATAGTTATTGGCTGATACCTTCTCATTTATTTTTTTTAAATGTGAATTCTGTTCTATCAGAGATTCTAACCAAGAGTGTATTAAATGAAGAGGAGGTGAATATAATCAGCTTTTTGGCTACCAGAAAGCCTCAGCCTCATTGGGAGCACCCCCTACAAGTACCACAGCTTGGATAAATATAAATGTTTGCATGGATTTATTTTTGGAGCAGTTGTCCATGAAGTATATTTGCTTATCCTGAACTGTTCCAACCAAAATTGGAGCCATCAGAATGCATATTTCAGTAGGGTCTGGTTGTGTGTGTGCATAACCTTGTCAGCATCTTTCCATGTCTGGTGTGGCCCACAAGTATATATGTATACATCCAAACACTTATCTGTTTGGATGTATGTACACACTTGCATACACACACACACACACACACACACACACACACACACACAGAGTTTACATAGATCTCACTCTGTCCTACACGACTTGGCACTCACTCAAATCCAACTTCTGCTCAGAGCTTTGGCACTTGCCTTTGAAAACCTTCCACCTTCCCCAAAACCAAAATTTTCTCACCACCCAGCTATCCAGAAATCCATTTTTAGCCCCCTTTCCCCTCTAGTCCACTATCTGCTGAAAGCACCTGATATCCGTGGAACTTTTTCAACCTCCCACCCACACCCCTGGAAATAAAGAGGATGCACTGCAGGAACAAGCTGTATGATTTATATCATAAAGCCCCCTTCCCCCTCTTAGAATGTCTATGGAACATGTAGGAGCTTCAGAACACTGCTTCTTGGGATCTTTCAAGAACAAAACCTCTGTAACAGAAACCATACAGCACATTCCTAGGACAGTTTTCCTCTTGTCCCCACTGGTTTTCTTGGGGGGTGGTTCTGCATTTTTACAGCCCCTGTTTTATTATAATCCAGCTCTCTTCCCCCCACTGATCTCTTCAGATTTGCAGTTGCATTATTCAGTACTTGTTAAGGGCAACTTCTGTCTGCGCAATTTTCAACATCAGAGGCATTTTGATATGTATTGGTCTCTGGACTATGTTACTAGGTTATGCATTTTTTGTTTAATTATTTCCTTTCCCAGGAATCTGTAGCAGAACAATGCTAAAACTGTGCTAAAACTGCATGGAAACTGCGTGGAAACTGTGCAGAAATCCGCACCTCCCCACATCCTCCTGGGGAAACTAATACCCCAAAGCTCCCTGGTCCCAACCACAAGGAGCTCGACACACTGGATTTAGCACACATCCATCCAGTACTTGGGGAAACAGAACTCTATTAAACAAACAGTAGGAGTGGAGAATATTAAAAGGGCACAAACTCAGGAACTCAAACACATGCATATAAAGAGGAGAGTAAATGAAGGGGGAAGTTGGATAGCAGAATACAAGTTACAGAGTTAAGAGTCTAAACCCCAAGCCTTTTGACCACCTCAAACCAAAAATAACAAAGCTAGCTAGCCTGCTACTAACAACAAGCAGAAGACTTAACAAAGTTTGTTCATGGGTGGAGTATCAGAGTGCAGATGGACAGAGCCTTTGGCAGCAACCAGTCTCTCTCCAAGCAGGGAGCAACTGCCAGGCTGAGGTCCTTCTTTATCCACC